TAAATGAACTGCTATGTCCCCATCCAAAATGCCCCCCGCGCCGGCAAGGTAAGAAAAGGTCCTTACCTGGCCAGACGCGGAGTTCTGGAGAGCCAAGACCGGGGAAGCGTCGGAGAAGTCGCCGACACACGTCCCATCTCTTTCGCGGTCACCCGGACGAGTCCCTTTCCCGAAAGCGGGAAAACAAGAGGCGAAACCTCCTCGTCTGTCAGCAGTGATCCGCAACCGAGCGGGAGGACGGAAGAGGTCCCCCCGGGAGAGAGTGAGAGGAGAGCTCCCCAAGCCAGGCGGCCCTCCGCCTCACGGTCAGGTCGGAGCTCAGGGTGAAGAAGGCCGAGCGTTCCGACCCGCGGCCGTTATCACAGCCATCGGGGAAGGGAGACCAGAGGAATCCCCACAAACTTTTAAATGAGATAACAGTTAGTGCTAAAAATTTGGCATCTGGTTCGTACCACTAGCGCTACTTTCGGGTGGACAATGAGCAATCGGCGATGCATTGTTTCTTTTTACAATGAAATAAACTGTAAATTTTTTTGGGGACACCCCGCACTTGGGTCATTACCTTGATCTCTGGAGTTTCGGGAACCCCACAACTGTGCTTCGTCCCTTTCCGCCCTCGACGAATGCCGAGTAGTCTTTCAGACATTGAAATATCTATGTGTAAAAATAAAAAGATGCAGAAAAAATGCCCCTGTACCGTATTCGAGGAAGCAATTCTCCTAAACATGAAACCTTAGTTGCAATGTAGGTCTGTGGTTTTACGTAAAACGAAATGGCACCGAAGAAAAAGCGTCTTGGGCGTCTCGCACGTTTGGAGCAGTCTCTTGGCGCAAGCTCGATAAAGCGTTCTAAAAGAAAGTATTTTTTTATTTGGCGTAACTCGTAGGTTACTTAAGTGTCTACCCAGTATAGTCGGTTGTTACAGGAATGTTCATAGACTGACATTTCCTCGTTTGTTGGGCATTGTCTGCTTCCGGTCTCGCCTTAGTCAGACTGACGGTGGATCGGAGTATATTCTGGCATTTTGCATGTTACGATGGATTTTTCGGCACACGAGTTCTCAAACTGGGTGCCTAGGCACGCAGGTTTCCCCGAACTCCCAGATTTCCTCGACTGCCCCTAAGTAAAGCGTCCTTTCCAGTTTAAGCTTTATTTTTAGCAGTTTTATGCCACTCTGATGCAAACCATGAGCCCAAAAAGTTATGACAAACTGCTAGGCAATATTGTGCCAAAGTGCTTAGCTTGCTACATCCTGCTCCATTTTACCAAAATGTGAGCAATTTGCGCCAACATTGCACCAAAACTTGATTTCACTTTTATAAAACTAAAAATGTATTAGCTCAGGCCTCACTACCTGGTTGGATTGTTACAATAGGCTTGTGCAAGTATTTAAACTTTCAATTATCACCTCAAATAACGTACTACTCGATTGGATTTCGTATCAAACACTGGCAGTACTCGGAAGTTTCGCAATACTTCTCGTGGTCGTGCAAGGTCTGTTTTGGCGGGTTGCGTAACTTCGTTGAGTGCGCTTCTCACCATGCACCGGTGTACAGCAGTGAAATGATAATCGTAGAGTAGGCATCATGCTTTTGCGTGCCCCGCTTTGACACAGTGCACCCTCCAGACCGGGAAACACTTTCTGAATAAAACTTTGGGTTGTATGTATTGTCACGAATGACGAGGTGATGAAACGAAGAATAACTGAGGAAACATACATTTAATAAAGCACACTTGTGCCCAGAACAAAAAAAAAAAAAAAGGAAAGAGAAGATAACATCAGAGCGTCACAGGCGTTGGAAGTTGGCGCAACAGCAGGATCAAGCGCTGGGGCAAGACTGACTCCGGCGTACCACACGCCGTGTGGGTCTCTGGAATTTTGGCACGTTGAACATTTGTAACTCGATCAGACAAGAAAGTTCTCGAATTTGCAAGGACGCCAAGTAGAAAGAATAAATAAAAATAAATAAAAACATTTCACTGCCTGGAATCGAATCCAGACCTTCCGCGCGACAGCCAAGCATGGTAGCCATTCAACCACTTATGCGCTCACTGAGTGGCGCACGTCGCAGTATAACATACTGCGATATCCTGCCGGCATTTTTTTTCCAATTCGAGATTTATCAAGGATACTTTGGCAAGAATATTTATATATAAATTTATTTTTTATGCCAACTCTTGTTATCACTTTTATATATGTGGGAGTAAATTAGAACTAAGTTAGCAGGAGCAGTGGATGGAAGCTTGGGAAGAAGATTAAAGAGTTTGGCAGGATCGTTTTTAAGAAAATGCATATTAATAATTGGCATGCCAATTCTTTTATATACATATAAAATGTAATTAAAATTCATAATCAAGTGACAAAAGCTTTGTTTTCTAATTTGAAGTATGAATGCAGTTTTATTACAACCTCTAGAACTTGAAGGAAACATAAATTTAGGTGCTGAAATTACCGTATTTGCACGAATATAACGCGAGGGCAGGTTTTGATGCCATCAAAAAGAAAAAAAATATTATTGCTATTATAACGCGTCCGAGGCCACGTCAATTTCTCGCACTCGGGGGCATAGCAGATGTGAAAAGCCAATGAAATCAAAGAAATACCAGTTTATGTTTTGACTGCACTCATCCTCACTGTTCAGGTCCTTCCGTTTACAATCCACTTGGCGACTACGCAGATAAGCAGCAGCACGGCACCTGCTTGTCTGGTAGTTCCTTTTTCTTCGGTGCGAGCGCCTCGGCAGCCCACAATCCAAACAAGGCACGAAGCAGAAGCACCAACACACAAACACCAGACCACTCTGGAGCAGAAACTAAACAATGCGCAGGCAGAAAAAAGACTGCTGAACCCCATACACGATACACAATCACACTTCTTGTTCTGGTCCCTCTGCATAAACAAATGCCTCATGTTGCACGATTGCGTAAACGCGGTCGGTGGTCTTGGCTTGGGCTTGTGTTGACTTGACTTGGCCCGGCTTGGCTTGGCTCGAATTGGCTAGAGTCACTAAATAAGCTACGCTTTCAGAGTACCGCATTCCTTTTCTTTCGCACTTTGCCGACAATGCAGTCGCTCTATTCAACAATATTCTGGTTCGCTGCAGCATCATTGGACAGAGGCAGTCACGTGAGTCGCTATCATCATCATCGCGTTTTTTTTCAATGCCACCATCTTGGGTCCAGCGATCCGCTGCCTGCTGCTGTTTTATTGTTTACTGCACGCACATGCTGAAGTCCGTCGCTCAGCACACACTTTTTCCTTCTTTTGTCGAGATACGAACAACACGACCTTGGTTCGCTGCCACAGCTGCGGCTACGGCAGCTGGCGCAGGTGACGGCTACAGCTCGGCTTGGCTCAGCTACAGGCACTCCTCCATCTGCGCGTGGACCCAAGATGGTGGTGCCTGATGCGCTTCAGGCGCGTAGTTTGGGAGTTTCGGTACTCTGAAGGCGTAGCTTTATTTAGTGACTCTAGAATTGGCCAGTGCCCGCATTCCCGCATGGAGTGCACGTGCGCTGAGCTTCTGTGGCGTGCGCGTGTTGTACAAACACAAAAGCGATAAAAATGCTTTTTTATGTTTTCTATTCGCCCCTTCACGTGGCCCGATAGCTAATAAATTCCCTTCCACACCCCCACTTCTTTTCCCACCGGATATTTTGCATTGAGCCGGAGGGATGGCTTTCTCGTCTGGCTTTCTCCAGACTCATGCGCTTCGTGGCTGAATTCGATTCCGAATATAACGCGAGGTGCGTTTTGGAGCACGTAATTTCGGAAAAAAAAAACTTGCGTTATATTCGTGCAAATACGGTATTGTATTCTAACAGTATTTCACTGGGTTTCCGTACCTAAACTAACCATTCACAGCATTTCGTGCTGTCCTTCATCAGTCATCTTCTGGTTACCATTTCTGGTGCTTCTACACGCGACTGAACATAGAGTTCCGTGCCCGAGGTAATCTCTTCTGGTGTGCAATCGATACAAAATGTTGCAGTTAAGTGACAAAGCAGACATTGCCTTTTAGTTGTTTTATATGAATCTTGACAAAATATTTGCAGTGGTATGAATATAAATGAGGTGTGTGCTTATGCACTAAAAGTTATTTTTGCCGCTCAAAAATGGACCTTTGGCTGCTTCATGAGCTGCTTCAAAATGACCCGGACCAATGTCATCACTGCTGTTGTGTTGCATACGGGAAACATTCTAGCATCAAAGACGTTTAGCGATACTCTCACGGCGCTCTTCATCAGATAATTGAACACGTACCATGCGTACAATTGACAGTTGTTCCTGTGATGAAGCGATACTACCGCTAATCGGGCTAATAAACCTGGCGATCTTCCAGAGCCTTCTATACTCTCGAGCTCTTCTCCCTCAGTGTGCACAGGTGGTCAAATTCCTCCTCGCCTACCTCCGGTCACATGACCTCTCCATTCACCAGTCAGCATCAAGTGCCTCACTTTTTCTCTCCCACCCGTCAACCAACCAGTGTCAAGCCTCGCAGCCACGCTTTTTTCTGGGCTTCACAAAATGCCAAACACCTAGCGAAAGAATGTTTCGCGTTAACACTTCTAGTCCCATGCTTTTCTGTTTCCAAGGTCTGTGTACTTCTGTACCGCTGTATTGTATCAATGCCGAGATTGGGAGGACTTCCTCGGCTATCGGTCTTGGCAAGTCGGTTCCTTGACAGTGACAGAATTTGAGAACACCTGCCTTGGCGCCAGCTCGGACGAATGTAATCGAAGGACGACACGATTTTGGCGGTGTCTGCATCCCAGTTGCCAACGGGACCAATTTGGTTTGGAAGTTTTTCAGTTTCTCTTCCGACGCTTTGAGTTTGACGTTAAACGGGATAATACTCACGCATGTGAAGAAAAATTTGTGTCGGCTGGTTTTCGTAACTGCATTTGAATAAACAGTGTCCGGCACATTTTGAAAGAGAAAAAAGTGGCAGAGCGAGAGGCCGATTTGAAAATGGAAATAATTGTGGTATGCGTTTCAGGAACAACATGACGAGCCAAGAGACGGTGGACTTCGTCAAGCAAGAGCTGGACAAGGGCACCAAGCCACTGTCGAAAATCTGCGAACTGGTGAGTTTTAAGCTTCAAATTGGGATTTCTTTTTAAATGCTCAGCATTTATAGGGCCAGCCCTTGGGGTTTTTGTGCCCCTGCCATGTAGCCTCGATGGTGATGGCATGTCGATGACATAAGTACGTTCACGTGACATCATCGGCATGACAGTCGTCACTTTTTAACACGGACTAAGTTTTACCAGCCGTTTTCTATGAAAAAATTGCCCAATTCCTTAAACGTGCTCGACTAACGCAACGTGCGACACATTACACATACAGTAATCCCTCGTTATAACGAAATTGTTTTTATCTAAGTTTGACGTGATCTCGACCGAAATGCACGCGTTTTGAACCAATTATTCTAAGTGTATCGGCGGCCAACCACGCTTATTTCGAAGGTCGTGATGCGGAAAGCATGCAAGCCTACACGGAGGTCCACAAAGGCCCTTGCATTCCCTCCCGCTTCTCCACCAAGGCAGACGGCAAACTAAAAAAACTAAGCAAACGAGCGACGGAGGGCAGAGCGCACAGAGCACTGCTTCCCATGTCAACGCGCTGACGCGACCGGGTAGCTGCTACCCGGTCGCGTTCGGACGCCACTCACGGGGCGCGCGGCTGCCGCTGCCCAACCCCTGTTGGAATCGGGTCAAGGGAGCGATGGAGCCAATGGAGCTTGGAGGACATCATTCCTTTGGGTGCCCTTGACGCGCATGATTGCGGCGTACAGGCAGTACACGTGCCTCATATTGGAGTGGAAGTGTTTACTGAAAGTTGCTTAGATCGCCAGGTTGAGGCCGGCCCAAGTCCGAAATCGCCAAAGAATTCGATATTCCGGCATCGGCTGTTCAACACCGTCCACCATTTTGCGAAACAAGCAAGGCATACTGGACGGGTTTGAGAAGTTTTTTATGAGAGCGAAAGCGCGCCCGCGGCCCAAAGATGAAAGATCGCCAAGTGCTTTGCGCATGTCGGATTTTCTCTCGCGAGCACGCTTGCCGAGTCGGCGCACGATTTTCATAGCTGCAACGATCTACAGGAGTGTGTGAAACCATGTCTGTGAGGACATCGAGAATAACTTCTATTCGTTCGCGCTCGTCGATGCGGACGTAGACATTCCCGTTGTTGCTCCTACCATGGATGCTGCAATCGTAGACTTTGCGTGCGGCCAAGGTAAACACGAAGCGACGTCGAATGGGCACCTTCAGGAAATGCCAACAACTCTAGAGACGTAAAACTTCCTGCGGCTGTTTCAAAACAAAGTGTAGTGCAGCGCCGGTGACATTTTTGCAATGCCTGGGGCAGTTTGAGAGCTGATGCCTGAATGGAATTGTCAAAAAACTCTACTGAATTATTTTTTTACTCGGTAAAGCTGCCACGAGTTGTTCATAACCAAGGTTTGTTTAATTAAACATAAAATTGGAGTGTTCTGCAGTGTTCCCGTCCACTTTCAAGGCAGTTAACGCCGTTTTTTTGTTTGTTTTTTTCTCTATCGTCAAATCTCGCTATTGCGATTGACATTATAACAAATTTTTCAGATTTACAAACATTTCAAATATCCCCTTCTGAATGCCTATCAGTTTCAACGCAAAAAAAATATTTCAGTACGTACTATGAATTTCGAAATACCTAATATTTTAGAATAACTCGTGTAATTTAAATGCTCTTGAGTGTGAACAAAACCTCAATTTTACAAATTTATATCACAAGAAAAGGAAAAAAAGGCGACCGAAAGCAATTGTGGTTAGCGAAAATAATTTGAAGTTACAGCAACACGCACATTTTGGCTGCTTGGCGGTTTCCAAAGCATCCAACCATGTGGCAACCATCATCATCATCAAAGATCGCTCCGGAAACAAATGCGCACTAGGCCTAACCGCCTAACTTTCTTTCCTCTTAATCACTCGTGCTGTTCCGCATCAGCAAGTTGCAGATATTCCTTGGAGGAAGGTGGACGACATAGAATCGTTTGTGCTGCATGAACCAGAAGAAAATCTTGGATTTATTCCATTAAACCTTTAACCGCCAGGACAGAGCTGCGCTTGTCATTGGAGTTTGTACCGATATCGCCAAAGATGAGTTATGGTCGGGAATTGGTTTTGGTTTCTATTTTCAACACAAAAGGGCAGTAGAAGTCTAGAAAAAAATGGCGTTTGCACATTTGCCATGTGTTTAGCCTGACAACGGTCGGTGGTCTGGCGGCGGTGATTTAAAAATGGCGGCACGCACGAAGAAGGCTGGTGGCGGCGATGTCTCCAGAAAAAAAGCTGCTTCTTGCAGCAGTTCGGGCAGCAGCAATGCTGAAGACCTCAAATTTGTCTCCCAGAGTGAGTCTGACATTGCTCGTGAATACGAGGTGGCTTGCGACCAGGACGACACGCTAGGTAGTGCCCGTGACTGGCGGTGCTTGAAAACCAGAGACCCGCCGGCAGTTTACGCACTTCACTATTTGTTACGGCGTGTCAGTTCAAATGAATACGGCGCGTTTCAGTACATCTTTCCACATTACTCTTGCAAGCATTGAGGGAAAGCTGCCCTTAAAAGCCGCTCTTTCTTGAAAAACTTCCCAACCAGAAACCAATCGAGCAATATATTTTCATAGTCAGAAAAACATAGAAAACTTGACTTGATAAAAAAAATTCAGGAAGGGTGCATTTTTCTAGAAATAATTTGGGGGTTGAAGGGTTATTAACTGTGCCGTGTGCAATTGCGTGAGCGGTGCTAGCGTCGCCGTCAACGTCGGGGAATGTTTCCTTTAGCATTTGTTTGGGACCTGCCACTTCTTTTTTTTTTATATATATAAAATTGAGCATTTAGATGTTCCTATTGCAAAGGTACATTATTTTTGCTCAGACTTAATTAACAATTTACGAGTTTTTTACTTTAACAATGTTTCAAAATGATGAACGATTTTCGCGAGTCAAGGGAAATTCGTTATATTGAGATTGAACTGTAAATGGCAAAAAACACGAGGTGTGCCATCTTTAGAGATGAGACTGCAAAACTTTATCAAAAATTAACGAAAAACACCGGGATACTTGCCAGAAATCACGTGAAACGGGAATCAATGCGCGGATCACGAACTCGGCAAATTAGTGTTTCACAACGCGATGAACACATGGGACTTTGTACGAACTCCCGTGTCGTGGAAAAGGACACCACAGACTGCGGATGCAGCTGGTTCGTGTTTCATGGCACGATAAACACACGGACACTGGCTAAAAACTTGCATGCCACGGGAACCAACGTCGCTTGCATGGATCGCGGACAGAGAACTTTAGAACTGGCCACGAATTTGCGTGTCACGGGAGCCGGTGTTGCATGTGCAGATTGCAGACAAAAATGAGAGAACCCACTGCGAATTCGCTTGTCGCACGACAAGTTCACTCGAAAATTCACGTTTCACATAGCTTGTAGTGCTTCTCCCCCCCCCCCCCCCCCCCCCCCCCTGCCCCCGACACGCACGTGCGTGCACACACACACACACACCATTTATTTTTTCATTTTGGGTGGCCATTCTTTCAGGACCTTATGGTATATAAATGTGCATAAGAGCTTGCTGGCATTTGTTCACCTGTCATCTAATTTGTGGGAAAGCAATAACTACTCTTTAAAATTATACATTTGGCATAATATATATTTATTTTTGCGCGTTTGGGGTGAGTGCTTTTGCTGAGACTGCTTCCGCGTTCCTCATTCGTGTCGTAACGTAACATATAAAAGCGATAATTGATTGCATCGATCATCTCTAGAGTTCGTTGTAAATGATGTGCGGTGCGAATACACATGCTGGTACCCAAACAGCAAGTCAGCAGGAGGACGAGGAGAACAGTGGGAATGTCTTGCTGAGTGAAACAAATTCTAAACCGTCGTGCTAAGACGCATCCAAGCAATGCGAAGAGCAAGTCGTCTGCATCTTGCACAGGAGATGCGGTGACTTCAGAACGACGCCGAGCTCCGATTGGTTTTGATTGAGATGATAGTGGGTAGACCTGAGTGCTAGGGGCCTTGAGGTATACCCACTATATTTTTTTAATCAGCCAATAAGAGCTCGGCCTTTTGACGTCACGCAACCCCTGTGCAAGAAACAGACAAACTTGCACTCCGCACTGACTTAAGGAAAACCTTCCGTTTTATGGTGTTACTTGCTAGTTTTGTCAGTCAATTTTTTTTTTTTTTAACTCCTCAAGAAGCTTTTTTGTTCCTTTTTAGTCAGTGATGCCTTTTTTAGTAAGGGTTAATTAAGTATGCATGTATGAGCAGGAATGGTATAGGTGGTATCATGAAGTTTTCAATATTTTGCATTTGTACTTTTATCAGATAGAGTAGATTTGTACTTTTTGAGTATTGGAATACTTTTGATTTGTACTCTGTTAAGTATTAGAATAGTTTTGGTTGCTAAACATGGACTAGAAATATTTGCATTTCCTAACAATGAACGGTAGTCAGTATTGGACTTTATTCATACCATACTATTGCAGCTTGAAATGGTTTTGTTTTTAGCTTATGGAATGTGCGATTTAGGTTGTTCAATAGTGAAAATGTTTTGTTTTCATGAGGCTTAAGTTGTTTTTCTTTAGTTGCCTATGCCTGCTATTGTAAATCCATGAGAGGAACCAACTCGCTACCACCAGGACAGTTCCCAATGGTAGCCATTCAAATACTTTTCTGCTACGGGCTGGAACGTATGAATTGTCATGTTTGAACATGGTTCTGGAACGTCACATGGAGATGTTTTTTATTTATATTTCTTTTTGCATTTCGAAAAATGCATCTGTGCTCACAGCACCGAGTTTCACTCGGGTTACCAGCTCCAAGATTTGCTTATACTGCTACGAAACTCGATTTTTGTTGCTCCTGAGATGCTCCAAAGCTGAACTTTTACTGCTCCAAAGCTGCTCCAAAGGGGCATCTTTGCTGCTCTCAGACCTGCTCCAAAAGGCTGAAGCTTGCTTCCACCCCTGTTATCAATATTCTAAATTAATAATAAATATTTTTAGACAATATTTATAAATATTTCAAGTTAATTAATTTTTTAGAAAATATTTGTTAATCTAAATTTAATATACTTCCCTAATTTATGGCCAAACCATCTCTACAGAAGACATAGAACACCAAGGTGTTCACGTATATTATGAATTTGAGGTATTTGTACACCATAACTAGGATTCCGTGTTTTCAGAGTTTATTTCTTATGAAATTGGAAGGGTCCTTTTCAAAGTTTATTCTTAACTGAAAATTTGGGGTGGGTTCATTGTAGTTTATTTTGTTGGATCCCCAATTTTCACAGTTCTGACTTTAATTTTACTGTGTTCCCAACCTTTGTTTAAAGTTCAAAATAAAGATAAACAATTTCAGACAAAAATTTACACTAAGTCGATAAAAGTTAGTACTCCCAATCGCCCTTGTGATTGAGAATACTAGTTGTCCCAGGACTAATCTTGCAAACAAATGTTGCTTCGATAAACACTGAAATAGCCGAACTCCTGAACGTAGTCGGTGGGAAGCATAAAAGCTCAGCTGCCCTTTTATAAAATCTACAGCTTCTTTCACTGTTAGAAAAACACAAGTCTCCTCCGTCTAAGAAGTGCAAATAGTATGACGCAAACTGAAAACAGGAACGTGGCCTTTATTCTGACCCAGATGTACATACACCCACTGTATGTACACACTTTGACGAGATAAAATGGAAACTCGGTTTTGTCATAAACCTGAGATGAAAAAAGAAAAAATGAAGTTGCCTATTTTTAGGATTGCTAACCTCACCCATCCCCGAATCGTCCCCCACCTCACTTTTTGAGCAAATATTGATTTAAAAAAAAAAAAAAAAAAAAAGCCGAATGATCGCTTGCTCCTACAAATGCACCAACGCTGACTCTGCGATCCGCGAACATTCATCGTACGCAAATGATGCGGCCGCGGACCTTGCAGTTGGAGGGCATTTGTGACAAAGTGAAATGAAAGATGGAAAAACACTTTTCTTTGTTTATGCATCTGCTCGTCCATGTTCGCGACCCCGAAGTCGTAGTAAACGCGTGCGAAACGAAAGCGATGCAGATAACGAAATGAAACTTTGTTTTGCTTAGAAAAAGGTTTGTATGGACAAAAAAAAAAGAAGTCTGAAAGTTAAGGGCACAGGGTAAGGTAAAATTGAAAAAAAAACGATTTTAGTTTTTTTCGCAATTTGAAAAGTTTAGTTCTTTCTGCACAATTTCCATTGTCCCAGTGTTTTTAGAAAGCTATATTTCGGGCTGAAAATCACTTCTTCCAAAAACAAGTAGCAGGTGACCACGCCTCCTTTTGGGATACACTCCCTGTTTATCGATGAATTCTCCAACAAAACAAAATCAACACATGACCTAAAAGCTTGTCCAGTAACAGATGATCTAAAAAAATTATTTCGAAACTATTGCGTAGCTTTTTTTCAACCAAGACAATCACGAGACGCTGTGCACGTTTTTCCCAGGTGTGTAACGTGTGTACATTCAAGTGTTTGTGTTTTCATAACAACAAAATGGCGCCATTGAATGCTGTTCCTTTATTCAATGGTGGCAGCATTGCAGAAGCCAATGTTTTGAAGTTTTGTGGATGGAACCCTGTGTGGAAAACCATCAAGTGGTTGAGGGAAGTTGACGTCGCACTAATATACTTTACGGACCAAGCGACATGGCACGTCACAAAAGAGGCCCAGCAAGCAAGGCAATAAGCCTAAAGGCGAAGACATGACTTTAGCAATGCCTTTCAAGCTGGCGGCTATTGAAAAAATGACTCTGAGGCTGTTGGTGCCAATAGAAATTCGTTATTCACCACTTTTTTACTTGAAGGGGAGACACTGCTCAAAAAAAATATTTCTGCAAAAAAAGTTGATTTTGAAAAATTACATATTTACATCCATCAATATCTAGAGAGTATTCACTAAAAGTTTAATTAATTTTCACTACATAGTTAATTTTTTATCAACTATTTTCCGTCCACCAAAGCTAAAGAAAAGGTGGGGTTTGGAGCACTTTGAACGCATTTTTCTCCATTCCACTTTTTGGTATAAATTCCATTTTAGTCAATCTATCGTTTGATAATGGCAAAACAGGGAAGGCTCATTTTTCCCTTTTCCTGACTGAAATTTGATAAGGAATGCGGCTATGGAACTTTTTTGTCACTTTACGAATGTCTTTTATAAAACATGTTGACATTTTGTCGAAGACACAGAAGACCAAAAAGTTTACCAATTTTGCAGAAGAGAAAATTTATAGAAATTAATGACTTTTTAGGAAAAATGTTTCATAGCCGCACCCTCTACGCACTCTGCTACATATCTAGCGAATAAAAATCTTGAATATTGTGATAGTTTTCCGACGATAGATTAACTAAACAATGTAGGCGTGTTGCTGATAGAAGCTATTCTAATTTCCTTCTCATTTAACCGACATACCTGAAATTTTGTTATACACCCTCTAGCATGACCAACAGCCTACCCTGTAAATTTCATTAATTTTAAGACAAGGGTTCAAAAGTTGACCCCCCTAGGGGGTGTGTCCCCTTAAACTCAATTATCTCAAAACAGTGTTTTTTAGTACATAGGTACCATTTTTTTCCTTAACCTGACATTATAGAGGGTTGATTTTTTATTCCTACCACATACATGGGTGTTCAAAAATACTGAACTAAAATTAAAAATGTGCACCTAGCAGTTTTTGAGTTACAAAGTTTTTAATAAATGAAATAAACTAAAATTTCAGTACTAAAATAAAAAATATTAAAAAAAAACTTATTTTCGATTGGTTCAAATAATTCTAGTTCAGTCTATAAAACACAATATTTCGAACAAAATGATATATACATGACAGGAATACTCCTAATAGTCACCGAGAAAAATGTTCCTCAACATGGCCTCAAATGCATGGGGAGTATAGGACTTACCCTGTGCCCTTAACACGAGCGGTAACTCGTTCAGAAATTGCGGGATCAGCGAACGCCCCATATCCTAGAATGTAACTGCGGAGTGTAAGGTAGAAGTCTGTCTCCACTCAAGTAAGGGCACCGCGAAGCTGCTGCTCCTTTTGGAACATTGCGACCGCTGTTAGTAAGGTTGTTCAATATTTAAGACAAAGTCAATGGGTAACTAAAGATTCGCTGGGACGCAGCACACAGGCGTTTGTAGAGCGTCCCATCGAGCTCCGTGCTTGTGGTGTCGTCCACACCACGCAGCAACGTTGCCTCAATTCGCGTTGATAGCACGCCGCGCATGGACATGCGCATGTATGCGCCAAACCAGAGATTGGTGCAAGCGCCTGGTCCTTGCGATTGACAAGGCGCCCGACTTGGCCCGACGCCAAAGTATTTGCCAACACGATTGCCGGCTTCCCTGCTTCTCCAGTATCGCTCTTCGTCGCTTCTTTCGTCTATTCGCCCGCTCAATCGCTCATTGCGCCCAATTTATTTTTCTAATATGTTGCTGACTTTTTTTTTTTTTTTTATTCCTGACAAAGAGAACATATTGTAAGAAACGTGCTTTCACAAAACAAATGTTTACGCTGTATGCCGAACGGCTGTGTTCATCGCACGTATGCAAGCAATGGACTTCACGATAGTAAAACATATTTTCATGAGCATTCCTTGCATAAAACGATGAAACTAATTTGAGTTTTGTGTTTAATGTATCTCTTGTGCAGTTACGCTAGATACATAAAGAAAAATTTGTTTTTTTTAAGCTTTTTCAGAACCTTTTTGTTTACCCACCGCGACATGGCCCACCCTACTTTTTTTTATGAATTTCAGGCGGCAGGGGGGCGGGCGACGACTTGGGATATTATTGTAATACTCAAACCATGCACGCAGCAAAAATTGAATACCAAGGTATTCTATGCATATTCTATATTTTTAATAATTGTACATCATTCATATGCTTCAATTATGCATGCTAAAAAAATTTAATTCTAAGGTGTTGTGCACACATTTTTAATTTATAAGATTTTTGTACCCGAACGTATGACTGAGTAAAAATCATCTGAGCGCAGCTATTCGACGCCTGCCTGGCCCCAGACACCTCCGGCGACGGCACGGGGTGCGACAACATGACTTGCATCGTGGCGCAGTTTCACCGGGAGGACTTCGGCGACCCGTCTGGAGCCAGCAACACCAAGGAGAGGAAGAGGTGCCTCTCCTCCGAAGACGAGTCGCGGCAGGACGAAAGTAACAAGAAGGCGAAAGCAGACGACGCCTGAACCCCGCCCGAAGATCTCCGACCATCACGACCCCATCGCTGCTGCCTCAAACGATCGCTTTCACCCGACTCGTCATAGTAACTCTTTGAATCTGCCACCCTCTGGTGGCAGGTTTCAGTTTCGCTCGCTCGTCTGTCGACTTGCCAACATGTCGTGCCGGGCCGTCCGGGTTTGACGTGTAGTCTGCATGACGAGGTGGAGCTAGCTTGACCCGGCACTTTTCTTAGCTCCCGTCGGGCAGCCTGTCAGAATATATAAATGTATGATAAATGAATCGAAGGAAGTAAAAGTTTGACTGCTGACTGGGTAGGGGATATTATCCACTGCTCCATCTGGAACAAATACAACCAATCTTTTTTAAAAACTCTTCTTTCTTCCTTTTTTTATTTCTTTTTTCGCTAGCTTGAGGTGGGTAACATTGTTTATTCTAGAACAAGTAGGACTGTTATAATTCGACACTTATAGGGAGGGGTCACTTTCTGTAATTCAAGGATTAAAACCTTTGTCGTTAAATGGACAGCCGACTGTAGTGCCAGAAGGAGGTGTGGTCATTTGGTGAACTAGGGTCGGTGGGATCGGTTTTATTACATGTTGCATTGCTCTAGACTTTTGGAGGCATGGATATTAGTGTGGAGCTTTCCATTGGTGTTCTTGCATTATTTTTCCAACTTATACTTCGTAGCCTCGTTTCACATTTCCAACAGTCTAGTTTTCAAATTGACCGCACATATTTTATTGTGCTGGGTTGCTCCAAAGTTGCCACGGCCACCTAAACTGACCTTGGTTTTTTTTTTTGGTAGTAAGCGTGGGGGAAGCAGAGAGCTGCTGTATATGTAGAGCTGACTCAAAAGTTGATAACTGATGGTGTTTCTTTCAAAGGGGGTGCATTGTTTTTCTCTTTGTTTTGCGACACCTGCCATTTTTTTCCCCGGAAAACTTAGTGGCAGCAGATTTTGAGAACTTTTGGTGGTCTGCACAAACAATGGCTTTCCACTTCTTTGTTTATAATTTGGCAGAGTGTGTGAGTACAAATGGAGGTGGCTTTTTTTAAAGGAGAAACCTAGCGAGACGTTAAATTTGGATCATCAACGATTTTGTACATATGTTATTGCGAGCTACGCAAGACATGTCATTGGATGTATACTTTGCTAAATGGTTAGTGTATACTGATTAGGATGATCTTGCCTTTTGTAAATAACTGCGCTCATCGGTCATTCCTTCCTTGTCACCGAAGGGGAGAAAGCGAGCCGCGTTTCTGGGCATTCATAACGGGCAATCACTTTCATCGCAATTCTCGCATGCTGTAAAATAAGCATCACTGGTTTCTCTTTGTTTATTTTTAATTAAGCGTGACGAAATTGAAGTTTGGAATTATGTTTTGAAGTGCATTGGTGTGCTTGTTCCTTAACAGTAGGGGCGTGCGTGTGCCAGAAAGGCCGTGTACAGCGTCGTCCTTTTTATTACGCTTCTCAAAATGTTTTTTGCAAGCCGAACTCATTAAAAATACATTGCAGGTAACATTGCGTCTGGCTCGTTACTCCCCGTGCCAAGCTTGGGAAGTCGTTTCGCAAAGATGACTGCCTTCCAGTGTCATAATGCTCGTAGCATGGATACTCAAACTTGCTCAGGTATATCTCGTGGCTTTCCAGAGTTTACAAGTTTCCTCAACTGTCCTTGCTACTAAGTAAGCCTTTGTTTGTTTTAGAGCGCAGCTCTTGGGCGCCCGTTTCCGGCTTGAGCGGCGTCGCCGTTGGCGTAACCGCGCATTGCATTATGGGATGTTTCCGACTAACGTCACGAGGGCCAGGAGTGACGTCACTCGTAATTGCGCGTTGCATTATGGGACGCTTTCCATAATGACATCGTACGTGCATCACTAGTGTCACGACGAAGGTCACGACCATCGCAGTGAAGGTCACGACCCGTACGAGGCCTTTACTCGTGAAGGTCACGACCTTCACGAGGGTCGACGTCACGAGGAAGAGGAGGAAGGGAAGAAAGGCATACCCTCCTGTCCGTACCCTCCCCTCCTCCTCAAGAGCTGCGCTCTCATTTGGCATTACAGAGAGTTGAAAATGTCTTTCATTATTTTAATTTTAGCACTGTTCTACCAAATCAGAGTCATGCCTTGATGCGTAATTACGAGCCGAACAGCCCCAAGTATATGTGCATTGTTTATAAGGTCTGTACCGAAGCGGCACAAGAATATTAGGCGAGTATCTACACATTATTGTTGGCAAATACTCAGAATATACGGTTCTTCTTATCCACACGATGTCTAGACATTATCGTTTCAAAAGCGGGGCTGTACCAACACAATATCACTGGAGTACCGCCACAGTCGGGCTGAGTACCCACCGGACGCCGAGTATATCTATAGAGTAATAGCAGCGTCGGCTGAGTGCACGCCGGACATCGCGTTGTAATCCAAGGTCAATCGAGTCGTCGGAGTACCCGCCGGATATCACCCGTATATCCATATAGTACTTGGAGCATCGGCTGAGTATCCACCGGGCATCGCGTGTGTCAATTGAGCTGGTGCGTCGTCTGAGCACCTGCTGGATATCGCGCGTATATCTATAGAGTACTTAGAGCGTCGGCTGAAATCGCTACACCGTGCACCTGAAACTGAATTGTTATTCTTCAACCATAAGCAGTTAAGCAAGTCGGCTGAGGTAAGGTCAAGTCGTTTAGCGTCAGATTGTCTGAGGCTCTGCGGCCCGGTATCCGGACGTCGGCCAGTTGAAAACAAATTAGCAAAATATTCCTTTTAGTACTTCATCGTTAGAAGTTGGAACCGCATTCTCGCAAGAGAAATCGTGATTTGATAGAACTGAAACACGATCCGATCCAAAACCTTGCCGGCCAGCAGCTCTTATGCGAGTGGTAGATCTACTCGGCATACATTAACCTTGCTCCTGCTTATCACTTCAAATACGATGACTTCGTTAATCGTAGTCTGCTGCTTCGATATTGAGTTGCACAATAGGATAAACTCGAAATTTGTTGCCCTGTTCCTTCGTGCAACTGCACGTCCGTTGCTTACGCACGTCACGTGGTTCGCACATATAATTACTACGTCGAGCACGTGTGGGAATTGTGCGATAAGCAGTGCTGGTTTGCATTTCGAGTGGCTGAAATCCACTCAGAAAATATCAAGGACGCTATCTTCAGAAACATAGGTTACTCGCTTTTTGATTCTCATTAAGGCTCACAAAGTTTCAAGATTTCACATCTAGCTGTTACACTGTTATCCCATCTACCTAGGTCCCTAACCACTCATGTTCATCTGTGCTGCTAAGCATGATTGAAATTACTCCCGTGCTTGTCTAAGACACAAGCTGAAGTGCAATGAAAACTGATCTGAGCTGCTCCTAGCCTGCTCCAGAATGTAGATTTAGCTGCTCCCAACCAGCTCCAAAACAGCTGTTTCAGCGCTGCTCCCGTGGCTGCTCCCAATTAATACATTTAATGAGTTCCACCCCTGAAAGCTGTTTCCCAATTTCCACGTATCTTATGGCATCGAAGAAGTGTCATGTCGCAGGTCGCGATCCTCGTGGTGTTGCAGAGGCAGTGATGGGTATGGCAGACGCCTGTTCTGCCACAGGTCACTCTTCAACTTGAAAGTCGCGGAAGCTACGGCAGTCGGTAGTTCAGACGCTGTGAGAACAGCGACACTTGCGTTCGCTTCTACTTTTGGCCAGGACTTCTAGCACCAACTGCCAGAACTGCAAATCCAAAGTCATGACGCTCCAACTTCTGTGACCTCATTTGTTGCCACTTCAAGACCACTTTGATGTATGGGCGGTAGGTACGTGCTAATTTTGGAGTTCGAAGGAAATGCTAGTGGTTTTGGCCGAATATTTTCGAATCAAGCAGTTTCTGCAAGTTTTTCACTACTGCACCGTGCCTAAATAAAAATGCATCTGAACTTCTAAAGGTTTTGTTTCCAAGCTTACTTGTCCATATTTAAGCTAATCTTAATCTAGCTATATTTATGGTATGTATGGAGAATAGAAGGATAGGAGAGGGCATGACGTCGGCCGCGTAGCCTCCACAAGCCATGCTCCCTTGACGCCTCGCGTCTTTCTCATTTTCCTCCTTACACTCCTCACTTACCATGCCAACGTGACCACATCACGTGACCGTAGCTAGCCATCGTCTTGCTATGGGGTACTAGAATACACCACAGTCTAGCCTTCGATCTGATAAAACCTACCGGACGGAGCGCGCGCAAGCCTGCAAGTAGTCCTCCTACAATCAACCATCCATCTCACACGTGACATGTCACGCGCACCAATCGCCAGAGAGATCTGCGGTCACGCTGGGCACAAAATCGTTTAAACTTTTTATGACTAGGCTTCACCAATATTGCAACGTGCCCCCTCCTAGTACTTCTAACCACGACCCACTCAGTGGGTCGTGCTTCTAACCTCCTTGACGCCTCGTAAGTGGGCTCATTTTCGTCTTCTGCGCATGAGAAAGGAAGTAGCGGTGACGTCAGAACGCCGAGCCCTGATTGGCTGATCGCGACCCCCTAGCTGAGCGTCGTCTGCTCCTTTGCAAAGTCGTCTGCTCGCAACATCGTCTGCGTCTGTCTTATCTTTCCTGCGACTTTCCTGCGAAAGTCGCAGGAAAGATAAGACAGACGCAGACGAGGTTGCGAGCAGACGACGTTGCAAGGGAGCAGACGGCGCTCAGATAGGGGGTCGCGATCAGCCAATCAGGGCTCGGCGTTCTGACGTCACCGCTACCCCCTGCGCAAGAAGCAGACGAACTTGTCCTCCGCATTGCCTACATGAGAACGGCAAGTAAACAATGCATTTCAGATCGAGGGGATTTATAAGTCTTGCAATATGGAAATATTCTTTATTAAATCTGAAATATGAGAATATATATATAAAAAGAAAAAAGAATTATGAACGTAGGTTGTGCACCATGTACTCTAGCATAATAGCCACAGTTTAATTTTGGAAATTCTACTCTGTAGTGCAGCATTCACAAAGTTTCCAGTTCTTTTTACACAAAACATGTGCATGCATATATGCCGCTTGGAAAGTGGGCTTTACTTTTCGAAGCGGGTAAGCCCCGTTGAGCGCACTTGTTGCCGAGCACCAATGCACTGCAGAGAAGCAGCACCCGTGGAAGTGAGCTCCGTTGGTGTCACTTCTCCGCAGTGCACCGCTGCTCTGCACAGTAAGGTGGTTAACACTTGGAATATCAGAGTTCATCTCGAAGGAATATTGAATAGCATATTGTTTGAAACTACTACTCCAAAATTTGAATATTTGCACAACACTAATGATCATCAGTTGGAGACGCGTTCCAGCTAGGCACCATATATAGTCGGTTACAAGTCAAGAAGGTAGGAGAAGCTCCTCCCACAAGTGTGATGCGCCCGTTTCAAATCTCTCCGCAGTCGAAAGAAGAGTTCACTGGAAACGCTCCTTGTTCCGCTTCAATGGATTCCCACTTGTCTCCGATCCCACTTTTTAAGAAAGCGACCTTTGTATTCATCGGAGAGGGAACCGAGCCCCTGAAAGCAGCCTTTGTATCCGTAGGGGGGGAAGCTAATCCCCGAAAGCCGTATTTGTTTCCGTTGGTGGGGGAGAACTCTAATCTCCCTCTCGTGGCTTCCACAATGCTAAGTCAAAGTCGAAAGATAAAGCAAATATGTACAGAAAGGCAAGACCCTCCTCGCGCGTTGTCCGCGACGTCACGGAAACGGTGGGACGCTATTGGATGCAAAGGTGGCGGAGGGATATCTGATTCCCTTTGAGGGGCATTTGCCGCTACCTTCTTAACCTGTAACTGACTATAGTAAAAGTAAAAATTGCAATGAAATAATTTTCAACTTACACTTGGTCTCAGGAAATGACACAAAAACACAGCTGCAGTGCAAATAGCGCCATCTATGCCCTCCAGGGACGTAGTGGCTGCCGAGAGAGGTGAGCGTAACGGGTCACGAGAGAGGTGAGCGTAGCACACAATAGAATGGAAAAGGTTAGCAGAAGTGGAGACGGTGGGCTTTCCTTTCCAGGCATAAGTGAGTAATGTTCCATGCAGCAAATTTTTCCTTTTTATGGGAATTTCGGGTCTCAATTTTGGTGAATAGGGGAACGGGATTTTTATCACGATTGCAGGGAATTTTAAGGATTAACGAAAGAATTCGGGAAAAGCTTTAGAGCTTAGGGTCTAAATACTGAAAATATGTATTGTGGTGCAAAAGAGAAAATGAGAAAGGTGGAATGTAGGACGAAGAGGTGTCTGAATGACTTTTGTAGCGTGTGCTACACTGGCCGAGGTTGAGCAGTTCCGCGTGGCTCGCATAATGAGCCGTGCTCCGTGCTGCGCAAGCGCGAGGAGCAGTGACGTCACACGGCGCACAGCTGGCGGGGCGGAGCCGCCGTCGCCGCGGGCTCCGCTGCCACCGCGCGCGCCTCGCCAGTCTGCGCAAGCGCGAGGAGCAGTGACGTCACACGACGCACTGTTTGCCGCCGCTGCCGCGGGCTCCGCCGCCACCGCGCGCGTCTCGCCGGTCTTCGCATTCCAGAGGAGTGACGTCATAGCCGCGGCAGACGCACTGGCGCCGCCGCGTGCCCAGCTGTGTGCCTCCGTTGCGCAGTAAATTTTTTCAAGTCGGTTTAGGAAACGAAAAAAAAGTAATGTTTTTCGATACTTTCTAAGGAAAGTTCAACTTCCAACTTCAAAATACATCCCGCCCCGCCGCCCCCCCCCCCCCACCCCCCCCCCCCCCCCCCAAAAAAAAAAGTATTATGTAAAAACACGCTATTGTCTTCCTCTTTTTAGATGTCATTTGGACGTTTCTCTGAGTGAAGTAATGGCGATACAAATAAGTGCCTGATAAGTTGATGATGTATAGTTTGTCAGAGAGAAAACGACTACCCTGTGGCCACTTGACTTTATCCAACATTCGCCGCCATTTCCGAAAATACCTGATGCAACTTCGAATCCGCCCATGAAAGATTGTGTTAAAAAATACTTGTACTATAATTACTTTGAAAGTACGTTGTATTTATAGTACTTCAAGTAAATTGCACGTAGTGTACTTTTTTCACAATATGTAGTAGTGCGGCACCACAGGCCTCAGGTATGGGCCAATGGCCTTTCTGTGGTGCCGCAACCCTCCAGGGTTGAATAAAGATATTATTATTATTATTACATAACCGAGTACTTTGAACTTCACATCAGGTAGTTTTTGAGATTACTTTATCAAACATTGCAGACATGCAAAAAGGCCACTATAACTTTTTTTTACTAGAAACCCGAAATCCCAGTTCCGTAATCCAGATAGCGAAAAGTCGACAGTCGACTTTTCGCTATCGACCAGTCGACCATACAAAAGTACAGTCGACCATACAAAAGTATGGTCGACAGAGCGCCGCAAGCTGCTCTATCGGCCATATTGTCGGCAAAACGCGCGCGGATCACGCTTGGGAAAGACGCGTGGGCGCGTGACGGGAATCCCAAGATTGAAAGCGAACGTCGACTGCGTTTCTCGTAAGAGTAAAGCTATACGCACTCCGGAGTGCGCTTCGCGCGGAAATGGCTATACGCACTCCTCCGAGAGATCATGCCGCTCGGGCCACCCTTTTCGAACGGCGCGTGAATCACTGGGGCGCTCGTTAACACAGCCCCCCGCCTGCGTTCACGCCGCTTCGCGGCGACAGTATCGGCTGCTAATTACAAAGCGTAACCAGTACACGCCGCTTCGCGGCGTCCAGCCGGCAATCCAAGCCCCGCTGTCCCCGATCGCACCTCCGGAAAGGGAGTCCGATACCATTTAGTTCTGCGAAGTTTCTCGCCAACATTCGATTTTTTTGTGTTGTTGCTTTTACTGTTCATCGCAAAAAAAGAAATGTCGTAAATATCGCCAAATGCCTCAACAAAACAAAATGTTTGAGAAAAAATAAAAAAAATAAAGCAGACCCACCGCGGATCGAACCCGCGTCCACTTGCGTATGAAGCGGACACCCTAACCCCTATGCCATGGCACCGCTTAGGAAACTCGTTGTGTCCACTCTTTTTATACGGGAAAAGCGGAGTGCGTATAGCCATTTCCGTCCGAAGCGCACTCCGGAGTGCGTATAGCTTTACTCTTCTCGTAATGTAACTCTGCATATGACGGTTGGATTAAAATGCGAAGCTGTACATTTCTTCTCTGCCTGGCCTTCGTTTGCGACTTGAACGAAAACATAACACGAAGAGATGACGGGGCTAGAATGTGCAGCACTGCAGATGGCAAGTATGACGCCAGGAAACCACACAGGCACTTTGTTGAGGGGTAATCTCCTATCAGTGCTTGCGAAGAAGGCAAGACAAAAATCATTGGCACACCTCAATAGCGTCCAGCTAGTTCTTTTACGCAAAACACTCGATCGTTTCACTCCAAGGAAAAAAAAAAAAAAAAAAGAGAGAGATTGAAGTTTTGCGCATTGATACACCGCGCAGGTAGTTCGGGAAGAGGCGTTGCTTTTAGCTTTTGGCATTTGAAACCTGTACGCCTCGATAAGATAACATACACCTGATAAATGGTGAAATCAGTAAATGATAAAAACAAATAAAAAGTTACAGCTGCCCTTTTTTTTCGTCTCTCTTTTCTTTTAAGCCGCCAACCGTCTTTCTGTTTCAAATACTTGCATCAGCCGTGTAACCTAAGGCCCGTGTAAAGGGCCCTAGTGTAAACAACAGAAAAGGAAGTAACGCATCAGCCATCAGCTGTTCTGTTTCTGTTGTCAAAAGGCCGCTTCGCGCGTGCGCAGTCGTGCACGTGCGCAAGCGCGCCAGCGCAGAGCAGTGCAGTGGAGCCAAAGGAGCGCTCACACGCACACACAACGGACAGCGTACACACGACTGGCGACATAACCGACACGGTTCGTGCGTTGTGTACCATCTTTGACATCTTTCCTCCCCTTCCGAAACCGTGCGGGTGTGTGGGTGTCTGTTGCGCCGTTGCGATCGGCTTTTTAGAGCCACGAAGAACGTTCTCCGCGTTGACACCGCGATTCGGGCAACGTCCTCAGGTTCGGCCATTTCGCTTCCTCAAATCCATTTCGCCGCGCTCGCTCGTGTGCCCGTTTCCTAGCCGCATCTTTACTGTTTTTTTTTAGGCCTAGGCGGCCAAAGACGACGTCCCTCGTAGCGTCACAACTCTCTGTGCGCTACGCAGTGCTGGTCAGTCCCCCGAAGCTCGAAGCGAGGCGATCACCATGCGGAGGAAGGGTGACTTGGTGAACCACAGCGCTTTCCGATGCTGTTTCTGCTGTCACGTCCGCACGGGGACCGTGATCCTGGGCATCTGGCACTTGGTGAGTTATTTTCGCGCCTTCCTTTTCTTACAAATATTTTAATAGAGCTGAGCCTTTCGGCTCTGAAAGCTCTCGAAGTTTGTTCTATGACAGCGCGCAGCGGTCGATAAAACATCGCGAAGACGGTGACGCGATCGCTCGTTTCCGTAGCGTCTACGCAGTAAAAAAAATGCCGCCCGTTCGCTCCGAGAAACTCGCCGGAATCTAGGTTTTCTACCGATGTCAGCAGACCCGTTTTTCTACGTCTGTACCTTTCTTTTATATTTGTCGATGCTGCACACTACTTTTCGATGCATGCGAAGGGGCGTCAACAAAAGCTTAGTTACCAGTATCTTTGAGTATGTGTAATACCAATGTGATTTGTTTCTGCGTAATTGGAATCTGCAGCAGCAGCAGAACGCCAAAGGTAGTGTTGGAGGGACGTGAATGCTTATCACTGTTGGTTTAGAAAAGCCGCCTCATCGGCACACTGAAACATTTCCCCCCAAAATTATCCCCCAAACATTTAAGCCGGGTTACACCAGGAAACGACACAGTACACTGGGGAGACACGGTGTAGATAGAAGCAAGCACGTCACGTCACGGGCGGATGCCTATCTTGAAACGACATACACATTCCTGTCACGTCGATCTAAGAGGTGACGAGCTAGCTGTGTCACTCTTGACAACATGCGAAAGGCGTGCTTGACGTTTAGGACCTTCATTTGTAAAGCAAGCAGCCAAAGACATTCTGGCAGTGTCAGAAGTGACAGAAATAGATATATCACAGACCGAAACGCCAAGCTTTACTGATGCAATACTTAGACTAAATTGTCATGGTTTGTTTGTTTTCTTACGTGATGTGCTAAGGTCGTTTCCAATGAAAATTCGACCAGGTGTGGAGACGTCGAGCATACGTCTAATTGAAAGTACAATAATTAAACTGAGAGAGAAATAATCAATGGCATTTCGGAGAAATTGAATATATAACCGAATAATGTCATACCCACTGCGTATCAAACCTGGTGTCTTGGTTCCGTGTTTTTTGTGTTTATTTTTCCTCAAATTCAAGAACGTTTTTTTTTTTAGGGGTTTATATATTTTTTTTTACAGTTTTTTGGTATCCACTTTTTGTGTCCTCGAAGAAACATTCAAGAACACACGTGCAATAAAGCTTCAGGGAACGTGCACTTCAGCCGTGTACTTGGAAAGTATCCTCATAGCAGTAAGAGGAGGAAACGAAACGGTGGACGTGGTTCCAAAGGAAAAAAACAGCTTTGCAGGCAGTTCAATGTATGCTGTGTTACAGTTTAAAAACAAAATAAAAAAAAACAATGGTGCAAATAACGATTTTTTTTCCACAAAGCTTGGGTCTTTTTTTTTTGTTCGAGGGCAGCTCCAAATCGGAGTTCTTCGGTTTCTCCTTGACTTTGATCAAATTGGCATCGGGGTTAATTTTTTGGGTTTATCGGTATTTACCGAAAACACGGAGCCCTAGTTATAACTGAAATAAGAGTCAGTTGTCTCGTGTGTTTCCTTCGTTTCATCTTTCTCTCGTCTTAGGGGTTTTTCGATACGGTGCTGGCTTAGCCTTCGGCGTGTAATATTACGTATAGTCGGCATTTCCAGTTTGCAGGAAATCCAATAACAAATGTGGCGTCACAAATAGACTAATCGCGCGATTATGTTCGCACCCTCCGTAAAATACCCAGGAGTAACGCTCACTCCTGGCCTTAGCTGGAGCTTGCATGTAGATAATATATGCTCAGCTGCCTTCCGAAAACTTTGTTTCATTAGAAGAAAACTAAAGCTGGCACCAACATCCACTAGACTAACCACCTATAAGACCCTAATAAGGCCAATGTTGGAGTACACCACTGTAGTATGGGATCCTTATTCCAAAGTTGATTCTTCTAAAATCGAACGTATACGAAACCAGAGTCTACGATTTGTGTACGCAGGTACAAAAGGACGGATTCTATCGCTGAGATATTGTCATTGTCAAACATAGAACCTTTGTGCGCCCGACGTAAGTTAGCTAGGCTAGAACCTTGGTACTGTATTGCGAACAGGCAAACCGGTATCGATCCCACCATGTATTTGCTCCCTCCCTTCAAGCACTCCTGTAGAACAAACAACTCATATCACATTCGACCCTCTAGATCGTCATCCAATGTGTTCAAGTTTTCTTTCTTTTCTACAACTGTAGATGAATGGAATCTTTTACCTGACGAGATTGTTGCTTGTACGACCGAAGAACAATTTGTCAATGCATGTTCTTCTCATTTCTAACGCGCTCGCATGGTTTTTTGTTATATTTCAGTAATTTTGTAGTCATGATTTTAAGATACAACGTGTCACTAGCGTTCCTAACTTATTTTTTATGTGCTCTGTCGTGCTTATTGCAAGATGCTATCAGTGGCCCCTTTGTTGTGTTATCTATACACCCTTTGAACTTGTGTATTTTTTCTTTCTTTTTTTTGTGACCTCCAGTGTACCACACTAGTTGGTTTACTCTGTTTAGTTATGTTTTTTCCTTTCTTGTTGTCCCACCCTGCTTGGGCCTGAAATGGCCTGCAGTATGAATAAATAAATAAATAAATAAAATGCAGCGCGAGACTAAAACATCACGAACACAGCTGAGTTATTGGTGCCACGATTTACTCCTGCACGGAGGGCCAGGATTTCGTTACTGGCAGCAGACGCTCTTTTTATATTCGTTAGCTATTCTGGAATGTTTCAGTCGTGCCGCGATACTGTGAAGTATGCTGTCACACAACGACCCAAACTTTTGAGCGTGAATGCGGCGAGAAACTGAGAGGGAGGAAGAGACGAGAGTGCACAAGGTCGTCGGAACGCCGAGCTCCGGTAAGAACGATTGGTGGGTGGACGCTAGGCTAGCTGCCTTTGTCTATACTACTTCGAGTGCATCCGATTGCCAAACACCAGCGTTCCACGTTTGTGTTCAAAGAGTTAGTTAAGACAAGGACCGCTAGCTTTATGTCTACCCACTAATCATTCCAGACAGAGCTCAACGTTCTGACGTCCTCACGCCCTCGTCTGCTCGTCTCCCTTCGTTTTTTGGCTTATAAAAGGACAAATTTAGGCGACTGTTGGCATTCAGTCTCGTTCTAGAGCTCAATCCCGCGTTTCGTGCCGATGCAGAACTCTGCTCACGAGATCTAAACTAGTTTGGAAATTCTCCACTTTCTCCCGCCGTCACTACTCTAGTCACCGACAGAATGAGAAGTGCAGGGAGGGGTTGTGCTGTCTCCAGCAAGAATTTCCTATGCTCGAAGATGCTTTGGAGGCCTGTGCCTTGAGCATGCTCGCGCAGCCGAAGCACGGCAAAAGGCATTGTGCGCTTGCTAGAGGCCGGGTGTTCTCATCTTGTCTGTAATTATAACTGGAATTTTTTTCCGATTGCATCAGAAACTAGGCAGGCTGAATTACGTGAATTTTGTAACCTCAAATGTCTTAGTAGTTTATCTAAAAGTTCACTCAGTGATAGCCATTGTTTTAGTTTAGTCTGCTTGCGATTGACATCTTTTCTGCGTCGTATATGCTTTTGGTTATGATTGATTGAACCAGCCATTTGGTGATTTCTTATTGTATAAAGCCTGTTTGCTCCTGATTCTATTTTTTTTTTTTCATTGTTATATGATCTTCTTATAAGTTCCCCCTCATGTAATGCACTTCATTAGAAAAGCTTTTGAGGCACAAACTGACCTGTCTTTTATTGTACGCACGAGTTCACCTTAAACGCTGTTGCTGCCGTCATGGTTTACGCTCCACTGGCCATGTGAGCTGGGCCCAGATGGTTAAAACCTGGAGCAGAGCGCAGCAGATTGTAAACGCCGACATCTGAGGTACTGAGAAAGAGCAAGAAAGAGAGGAACATAGGAAGCAGAATGCAGACGATGCGTTGGGCATGTCCGTTCTACCGTGACATGTTACGATCGTTTGAGGGCTTGTCAACTTTTCTTTATACAATGCACAACGTCGGTATTTTCTTGCGAAACAAAGCTAGAAAACACCTTATGCCAGATTGACAAACGTGAGTTCGCTACCACGCAGCTTGTCGTTCGCCCGGCTTGTAGATTCTTCAAGTCATCTACCTAGGTCGAGGGCGGGGCGAAAAAAGGAGCACAAGTGCTTCTTTAAACCTTTCTTACATCCTTCTGCTTTAGACCCCACTATCCGCATGTCACACCCAATTCCTAAAAACCCTTTGGAGGTCTCATTAACTCGTCGCGTTTTGCGACATTAAAGGGGCCTGCAACAACTTTTTTACAGTTTCTTAATTTGCACTAAACCTTAGCGCACTGAACTTAGTAACTTTAAAGACTTCTTCTTTTCTCAAAAGTCGCTTTATTTTAAAAGTTATAGGCATACTAAAATTACAAAAACAAGCAACAAATAACCTTCTTCATGACATCCTTGGTTCTCTTTCCCGCGCCCGCGGACCACGGGGACAGAGGAATGTGGGGAGGGAGGAAAGACGGGGAAAAGAGGTGAGGCTGAGGAGAGAGAGCTGTCTGGGTACGGGCAGCTCTCTCTCCTCGGCTGACCAGGACCAACAACATCACGATTTTGTCATATGCTGCGCGCGTTCAACATCACGGTGCGTTCCTGTATCAGTAGGAAGTTTCCGTGTCGTCTGGTTAATATACTACACACTGATATTTAGTTACTTTCTCCGTGCCCGCTGAGTTGACCGAACCACAAGAGACGTGGAATCTGCAAAAAAGGTTGACGCTTAAATAGGATTGCAGGGCCCCTTTAAGTAGGTATTTAAATTTCACAAAGGCACCTTCCTTGTGAGGCTACCGCCACCTAAATATTTCACCCTTTCATCCATGTGCAGACTTGTTTAAATACAGTTTTTTTTTCCTAGTATCATTGAAATTTGATATTTGCTGCCCGGTGATGTTCGTTTACTGCCATTGCGTGAATTTTTTTCCGCCATTCATAACTATTGATAGTGTTTTGTATTCATTACTGTTCTTTTATTCTTGTATATTGTTTCCTTTTTCTGCTTGTACACTTCTTTTAATAGCCCCAAGGGGGCTGCAGTATTTGAAAATAAAATAGAACAAATAGATAAATTTAACACGAGCCCTAGCCAATTGCTGTGTCGGAACAAACGAGTAATTTATGCTTATTGCCCAGACAGCTGAAATGAACTGCTTGGGGTGTTGGGTCTCCTGCCCTGCCCTGCTGCAGGTGAAGAAGACAAGCCCCTCCCATGAAACACTCTGCTCACCATGATTGGTGGTCTCCTCTCCAGCATTCACTTTGCTGAAGTGGAAAGGGTGAGGAGGGTATTTCCGGGAGGAGCTTGTTTCGCTTTTTCTAACCTGCGACAGGCTAGCGTAATACTCCAAGAGATGCCTCAACCCTTGAAAAGAAATCTGTTCCCTATTTTCTTCTAGCACCGAAAGATCACCCCCTCCTATAGTACTCAGTGTTAGGGATGTACATAAATGTGGCTAGTTAGCTATAGCATATAAGTGAACATTGCTGACTCGGAAGCACAGTCATGTTTACTTCATTGTCCCTCACCGCAATAACAAGTTTGGCAGGAAAAACATGATCTTAAGATAGCATTTTTTTTTAAAACTTTTCTCGATTGTACATTGAAAGTTAACCCACTCTTTATTTTTACCCGATTTGCTCTCGACTTCAGGTGGGCTATCTCCCACGGTATCACGGTATACATGGCTCGCATTGACGTCACGTCGGTGGCTATTGCGGTGGCCCTACCGGCGAGCGCCAGACGGCCACTGGCGTGGTGCTGTCACGTCATGCGCGAGTTGCGTGTAGCGATCATTTGCGCTAAAACAAACGACGCCGCAACCGTGGCACGAGCAATTCAGGCGTGTGTTTACTTCAGATCCTGCACGTGCTGGCCCTGGCGATCCTGGTGAGCATGCTACTGCGGCCGGAGCTGTTTGAGAAGCTGTACGGGACGTCCTCGTCGTCCCCCGGGCAGCACTTCTCGGGTGGCTTCATCACCCACTTCCGCCCCAGCGTCTACAGCCACGAGTTCCCGGACATGAGTGCCGACGCCCGATTCGGCAGCATCCGAGACCGTGAGTGGCGTGCTCTACGATCTGCTTCGCTCCACGTGCGAGCAAAGCCAAAGATATGTCCATGAGATGCTGCTTCGAACTATTGCACCTGGAACGCGTCTGACTCGTGCGTTTACCGCATCCTAAAAAGTGGTCCCGCGATTTCTGCCCGGCGACATCCACCACGCCGCTGCGCGCCGTCGCCGGCGTCGCAGCGGCGTGGTGGATGTAGCAGACGACCGTTCTGCTGGAGACCGCTGTCCGGCTTGGCAGTCCACGGAAGCTTTGGCAGTCGGGGGTTGGGACGCCGCGACGACTGCAACGCTCGCGTCCGCTCGTGCTTTTCGGCAGCATTTCTACGACCGACCGCAGAGATTACGACGTCCAACAGCGCAACACTCCGGCCTTTCTGACGTCGTTTGTTGCCACTTTATGACTGCTTTTGACGTATGGGCGGGACGGAACACACCCGTCGCAGACGCGTTCCAGGGGCCTACTACACTTGCACTGCACGAGCGCTCGGCAGGGATTTTGAAAACCTTGGAGCTCACTTTTATTGCTTCGGCTACGCTCGCACGTCTTTGCTGCAGAATGCATACCTGCCAACTCTTCCGAATTTTTCGTAAAATGTATGAATTGGGACTAATTTTACGATTTTGCGAATCTTGCTTCAAATCTTATGAATAATATATTTTTTATTATTTTTATTTTATTTTGTTTTTTGTTGTTTTTGTAACTCCGTTGTTGGCGGTATCTTGCACCGCCACAAGAGGGTGATAGGTACCGTCCACAGCAGCGTCGTGGTTTTTACTATCCGTCTAGCCGGTGGCCACGGATCGAAAACCAATCCAGAGCTCAAAGCCTTTGTTCGTGTGTTCGGCGGTGCACGGGTGCACGTTGGTTTGACGTGTTTAGATGTTGGGCCCGGTTGTTTCGGCCAGTTTCGAGGCGAGAAGTATGGCGTCTGTGTTTGTTGCACGTGTAACTGTAGCATTCTGGTCACTGTGGCTTCGCAGCGCAATGCCGAACTCCAAACCTCAAAAGAGGTACTTTCAGGTGTTCCTGAAGTCCTACATGTCAAAATTTTTGTGCTTCGTGTCGCCCAAGAAGCGAGAGAAGTGTGTATTCTGTAGCACGTGCATGTGTGATGTAAGCGTTTCGCACGCTGGCGAGGCTGACATTAAGCTGCACATCGCTTTGCGTAACCCCCCCCCCGGCGCGGCCGCGGGACTTTTACGAATTTGAAAGTCCACAGGTTGGCAGGTGTGAGAATGTGTCAATGCAAGTTAAAGGGGGGGGGGGGGGGGGGGGGGGGCGGGGAAGAAGAAGAAGGAGAAGGAGGAGGAAGGAAAAGGGTAGCACTCAAAATTTTTTTAAACTTAGCATAGAAATGCAAGTGTGGAGAAAAACAACCTTTAGGGGAGGGATACGGGTCGAAAAGGGGGAATGTTTTGCAAAAGTGTTTGAAGTATAGAAATAATTAGTGCATGTTATAATTCAGTGATGTGACTGCTGCGCCAATTGCGCCAAACTGCGCCAATGGGCTAACCCTGCTACACCCTGCAACATTTTGCCAAAATATGGGTAATCTGCGCCAAGCCTGCGCCAAAAAAACAATTTCTGTCACCTTTCAAAACAGAAACAAAACTGACTACCGTAACTGAGCATGCATCTGTTATGTGGCGCAAGCGGCCACCCGACACAAATTACCCTGCATCAATTGTCCCTCTGGTTGTGCATGGTTTTCCCGCCGTCTCGCGTTTCGTGCTCTCGTCGTCTCATGGGTCTTGTCTCGCGTCTTTTCTAAAAAATATTTTCAACGAAATACGTGTGTGTGTGGGGACGCTCCGACGCTAGCGTGCCGGGTACCAGCCATGCCGTCATGCTGTGAAACGAAACCACATTTTTGCGCGGCGAGAGTTACTTTGTGAGCTGAATGAAGCACTCGCTCCTCAAAGCAACGGCCGTGGGAGAAGTATATTTGGTCTCTGCTTTCCAGTCGCCGTGGTCGCGTGACGTCGGGTGTTGGAGCCCCACGTCGCTGCACACATGGCGCTTTCTAAAATGAAACTAGGTACTGCCGCATGCTCGTCAACATTCCTGTTCTGGTTTAAATCGTACGTTACTACAAAAATCTCTCTTTAACTCAGAGACTGCTGTCTCGAAGTATTGATTACCTACGTTTCTCTCGGTGGGCTTTCGTTGGAGAGGGACCCAGGTACGTGAAAAATTATCCGCGAAAGAAAGTTGGAGAAGGGAAGTGAGCTAAAGCAAAGGAGGCAATGTCTGCACGCTGAACCCGCACAGCGCGCATGTTTGTCTCGAGTTCAGTCGTTGCACAAAGCGGTCCAAGAACTTTTTGACCCTGGCTCGCGATGTCTTGCATCGATGTGCTCAGGTTCTTTTTTTTTTGTGTGTGTGTGTGTGTGTTTAGCCTGTATTTTGTTTGCCGGCTTGGCAAGCACGCGCCGCTTGACGGTTTTTGGTCGTACGCTCGAAAGTTTCATTCTGCATACAGTTTCGGGAATCAGTTGACGACGGAGCGGAACAGCATGGTTTTCATTTTGATCGAACAGCCGTTGTCTCCGCTCGCGCGATGAAGCACGCGCAACTGCAAGCCTACAGAAGTTGCCCTCACGTGCATGCGAACATGATTGCACGGTAGACGCACCAGCCGGGACGCTTGCAGTCCATTATTTTACGTTTGCTTACTTTTGACGAATATCTGGCACGTCGGGAACCAGTAAAATGGTAACGAGTGTTTTTTTTTAATTGCTCGGCAACGGCTACAGGACTGTGTACACTTGTGGGATGTCTGAGCAGTAAAAGCGCAAGCAGTGAGTTCCGTCTCAACACGTCACATCAGAACACAACACAAATCCCTTCGCTTGTACAGCACTTCGAATATATATATATATATATATTCTAAGGACATCTGCTCCATAGGCTACTTTTGCTGCTCCAAAACACTGTTTTGGCTGCTCCAAAAGGCGCTCCAAAACGGCTTAGGCCGATCACATCACTGATAATTGCAAAGTTAGTCTAATATGCATTTGAAGACTTCCAGGCAACCCAGAACGGCATGAATTTGATCCTTTTTTCTCCGCGTAGTTTTTCAAGTTGTTACGTCGCTTTGACAAGTGGGCCTTGCCGTCTCCTCTCCATTGCATTCTTTTGTAGCTTCAATTTATCGCCAAACTTATTAACAAAATATTATTTCCCACACTGCAAAAATGTGTATATAGCTACACATCTATGATCAAATTCAAGCACACTTTGCTTTTTATGTAATTTTAGAGCATCTTCACAGTTGGTGTGCTAGAATTTCAGTTCTTAATAATGTCCTTTCATAACAAAATTTGGCAAGCATATACTTTAGAATATGTAGAATGCAACTATGCATCTAGGTTTGGCTAGAATGTATATTATTTTATATTTTTGAAAACTTTGCGAAACATTTATTATTATTACCCTCTTGAAATTACATTTTTGCTATTTTTAATTGATTTAAAGTGAAAAAGTCATCGCACACATTTTTTTGTTGTTCATTGCACTCTGTGGCTTAAAGGGAGTGAATTAGTTTATTTAACTAGACTTTTATAAGTGTGTTGCCAAGCATCACGTGTGCACAAGAACGTGGTTTTTTCTGCTTGTTCATTGCATCGAGAACCTAAAAAGCAAGCTATATCATATCCAACACCAGATTTATAAAAAAAAGATTAAGCACGATAAACTGTAAAAATTTAAATAGTATTGAAAATAATAACAAAAATTTCCCCTGGCGCATGCCCCATGAAACGCCCCCAACAAGTCAAAAGTTGTGTTTCTTTAGATGTGTTGGACCAGTGGTTCTCAAATAGGAGTCTGCGGATGTTTTGGGGTCCGCGAAGGCATTCTATACTCCGTTTCAAACATAGCGTGCAACGTAGTCAAAGCTAGCGCGCCGGTTTGCACAGCCGACCGCGACTACGTTCGCTCCACAAAATAGTGCGGCCCCTAAAAAAAAAAAAAAAAAAAAAGTCGAAAAGTATACATCTTTGTGGCTAGTAACTAATAGTGGCGTTATGATTTCGAGGGAACACCGATTCTTTTTCAATAAAAAGGAAAAGATAATGTAAACTACTCCAAATTATTTTCCGTTTTCGTTCGTGCGGCACTCGCACTCGCTTCGGGTTTTCGGGTTGTGCGGCTGCCCCTGCCTCGCCGGTTTCGTGAAGATGGCGTCTTACGCGGGAAGCTTTCTTTTCCTGCTCGGATATTTTCGAAGATTCGTTGTGTGAAGATCTCATCAAAAGTGCAAGCAGGTGATCGCCAACGTGTACGCGAGTTCAAGAACGTGTTTCCCGGAGACGTCGGTCCGTGAGGTCCTGGAGACGGTCAGTAACGACACCGGAGTGTCTGGCAAGGTGGCGTCCCCGAAGCGAAGACCTTGCAACGTGAAAGTTCCGAGCACGCGGACAGTGTTGTGAACTGCCACCTGTTATTTCTGGTGTTGAAATCGGCCTTATGGCTTCAAAGTGAAACAAGCCTCAAAAAGGAACTGTGTCGATGATGAATCGTGCCTACTGCTCCATCTGCTTGCGGGCCTTACAGCAGGCGGTGCCCGTGATTGCAGTCCGAAGCGTCTGGGTTCTTCTGCCTGCGGGACCGTAACCATGGTCGGCTCCGTCTGCCTGAGGCACCTTAACCTTGGTCGGCTAAGTAAACGACGCACATGCCCGTGCCTGTATTCCGAGGCCCCTGCTTTCCTCTAAAAGGAAACAACACTCGACCCTGATCTCGAGTGCCGTGTGTTGTGTACGCGTCTATTGTGAATCACTCCCGGTTTATGGGGGCGCCGGCACCAGAGCACCGAGATACTGCCGTCTGGATGACTTCTTCCATACACCGGCGAGTATTCTGACTCTGAAGGAAGCTTCCATGAAGTCGCATCACGTGAGGGAATGCCAAGCCGTCTGAACAATGGCAGTGCGGTCCCCTAATCACAATATTCGTTATATAAAGGACCGTCCACCACACTC